TGAGGGAGGCAGAGAAGAGCTCGAGGCTGACTCTGCTGAGAGCAAGAACTGGTCACTGTATTTCTTACAGTGATCTGTTCTTATTTGATTCCCCATGGTCTATCACAACAATTATATATCACTGAACATCTGGAAATTAAACATGTAAAGCCTTTTTTGATCGCTTCCTGTAGACTTGAACTTGTACTGTTGACTTGGTTTACATTTTATGCAGAATTTGGACTCGTGTAGCCAAATTTTGCAGAGGATTTGAATCCTCTGTGCTCCTCCTGAGTGTGTGATTCCTGTCCAACTGGGAGGCTCCTGGGCTCTGTGTTCTGTCCCTCCTCTGCTGTTGGGAATGTGCCTGTCCTTTATCCTTTGTAGTTCCTTCACCATCTGACTGTGCTGGCACCATCAGTCTCTTATTTATCCTGCTATTATTAAAACCTCCCTTTTTTAAACATCGGGTATTTATTTTTCCTGAAAATGCAACATTTTCCTCCTGTCACGAGACAAGCGACTTTAAAAATTTTCAAAGGCTCTTTCAAGCAAAGCTGGGAATTAGATTCTTGTGGAGACCTTCATAAAAAATTGAAGACTTCATGTATTAACATACATTGATTTATTCATAGTGTTTCATTACAAATAAGTGAGGATCCCATAATCTCAGGAAAGGTTAGGAGAGCAGCAGAGCACAGTGTATTATATTGACAGCTCTACTGAAACTGAGCTGCCTTTGGATTGAATTTGGAAGGCAGGCAAGGAATTGGCTGGTAAATAAGTCATGAGTTTTGCTTGCAAGTGTCTGTATATCCAGGGGGTTTCCATGGGTGGGATGATGGAGCTGGAGCAGGATTTCAAAGGCGTGTTTGCAGTGTGGATTCCTCTCCAGGTGTGCTGGCACCAGCTACAGGTGTATTCCTGACACCTCTCCAGGTCCAGAACCCTCCTGGCTTATTCTCTCAGGTGTAAACCACATGTAAATCTGCACTCCGAGGCTCAGAGTGAGGGGAGGGAAAGGATGTCAGTGGCTGGCTTTACAATAAAGGCAAAAAGAAGGGCTTTTATCTAAAGACTTGGTTATATTTATTTCATTTAAATGTACAATTTCATTTCGGCGTGTTCTCTCAGCACAGGAAAAGACTTACAAAGCCTTTGCTGCTGCCATTGTTTTCAGCTGCCTTATGAGAAGATGATTTGCCAAAAGAAAATGTGCTAAAGATGATTTTCCAAAGGAAAACTTATCCATGTTTGCACCGAGGGTTTTCAGATGCTGTGGGGGATTGTGTGGGAAATTCTCCTGGTAATTGTGCCGGTCGTGCTGTGTGCTCTGATTTGACTACAGAAGTTCTGAGATTTGGAATAAAAAAGCAGTTCATTGCATCTTTTGTTGTAGATCAGCCCATGCTGAGGTTTGAGTGGAGAGAAAAGATTAGTTTTTCCCTAAGTAAAATTGCCACGTTGGGATGCAAATACAGAGCCGCTCAGCAGAGATACTGAAATTATCCCTGCCCTTGTGTTTTCAACGTCTGATTTCAAGAGATGGCAAACAGGGGAGCAAAAATGGGCCCCTTATCACCTTCCTTTCCTTGTTCTTCATTTGCAGATTACATACAAGGCCGTTGGGTCCCTGGATCCCAGTGCTGACCTGTCCAGCCAAAGGGGGAAAGTCTTCAAGCTGAGGAATGAGACCCACCACCTGTTTGTAGGATTATACCCTGGGACCACATATTCCTTCACCATCAAAGCCAGCACAGTCAAGGGCTTTGGGCCACCCATCACCACTCGGATTGCAACTAAAATTTCAGGTACTGCTTTGAAGAAATAAAAAATAAACCGCTTTGTTCTTTAGATCTAAAGCTGGTGCATAAAACAATAAAAAATATTCAGCTCAGTGTCTCTCCCAATTTCATAGGGCAGATTTTTAAACCTGTGTTTGATCTGGTAACAAATGCAGTGGTTAATTTGTGGGTATCTTAAATAGCCATGAATGTTTTTGTGGAGTGTTTTAAATGAGAATCATCATTAGCTGTACAAATGAACTACCTCTGTAATAATTATTGTCAGCATTATCTGCCTGGATGGGGAAGCTCCTTCAGTAATGTGGTTTTTATTTTCAGAATGCACCAAGATGGATGTAATGAAGTAATGGAATTAATAGTGCAGAGAGACTAAAATTAAAGGAGGAAAGCTGTTTTCATTGGGGTTTTTATGAGTAAGAGCAGAGGGAGGGCTTGAGGTAGGCAGACAAGAATATGAAAGGCACTAAAATAAGGAGGCATTGCAAAGAGAACATGTGAAAAAACAAAGAGACTTAAGCTAGTTATCAAAAAAGGGATGGTAGAGGTGATATTGGGCAGATATATGTAGATTTTAATTTTAACATTTAGTTGATTGCACTAAAATAGCTTTTCTAACAGAGAGAAGCGCTGACATTTTTTTGAACTACCTTAACTGGTTTTTTTTTTTTTTTTCAGTAAAGCCAAAATAAACATTTGGGACATTCAGGACACTTGGAATGCTTAAAATTAGAGCTGAGTGCTGTAGGAAAGAGGGCACAACAGCCTGTGTTTTCCACTGCCCTTTTTCAAAATTGGTTAATAAAAGCAAATTGTGAGCAATAAGTGACAGGGTAAACTCAAAGGCAGTAAAATGCATCCCCTTCTTCTGCTGGCCATCTGCAGGGTTTGAACCCTTAACATTTAGTCCAAAAGCCCTAAATTACTTGAAGTAAAGCCATTAAGTGTCCAAAGAGCTGCATGGACTGTTGGGGTTCAGCCCTGCTGTGAAGGGACAGCACTGTGTGCACTCTATTCCTTTGTGACCAGAGCAGTAAAATAGCTCAACAATGGTAGTGCTTTTCCCCTCTGATTCTCTTTCTTTGAATTTTATTATTCCATCATAAGTGCTCAAGTTGTGTTGGAAGCCTGCATGACTGCTACCTGTATGCACACTTGGTTTATTGTCTTTTTTTCCTGCCAGCTTTGGAATACCTGGGTCACAATAGTTGGGTGCAAACTCCATGCAAGCATTAGGATAGTCTCTGACATTGGATTATCTCATTGCATGGTCAAGTTTGTGACATTTGCATTTTCCAAGTGATTTGGAAATGACTGTTAAACTTGCTCTAAAAGGCAGTCTCAAGGTTATTTGGGAGAAGAAGGATTTTTGCACTGACTGGAATGTCCTTGTAAGTCTGGACGTGTTTGAAAATGAAAAGACGTCTGTGCTGTAGCAATGTGTGAGCATATTTGTTTATATGGGTGGACACATTTGTTTGCATCTCAAACTGAATAGCAGAATTCCTCAGGACTTTTCTTTGGGCAGGAAAACAGGCATTCATTCATCTGATGAGCAGGGCTTGCTATTTTAGGGACATCTCTGCCAATTGTGGGTTGAGTGAGGTGCCACACACCTGTTTTGTGTGGAGCACACAAGAAAACTACTGTATCTTATTCTGCTGTCCTGTGACTAGCACAGACCAGGATCCCTGGATTATTTATACTCCATACCCTGAGCTGGGCCTGGCAAGACCTATTTCTTCCATTTACTTTTCAGCTATATAGTGTCTGACAGTAAGATTATTATTGTCTGTGGCAGGTGCAGCGATCACACAGTGGGTGACTGAACAGGTCTGAGAGGTGTCCAAGGTAGCCAACAGCTAATCCAGAAACAATTCAGTGGCACCAGTGCAGTGCTGCACTTGGGGCAGAAGCTTCAGAGCAGAATTGTGGAGGCTGCAAAGGCAGAGCCCAGCCTTGTTGTGGTGTCCAAACTGGCCTTGCCACCTCCAGGCAGTGGCTGCCCCATCCCTGGGAGTGTCCCAGGCCAGGTTGGACAGGGCTTGGAGCAACCTGGGATGGTGGAAGGTGTCCCTGCCCATGGCAGGGGGTTGGAACAAAAGGATCTTTGAGTTCCCTTCCAACCCAAATCAGTCTGTGATCTCCAGCATCTGTGGTGATCTCTAGTACAGAAGACCACTGGTGATATGTGTCTTCTTTAAATGTCTCACTGCTTCTCCTTGATGCAGAGCACCTTATTTCAGAGAAATCCTCCTGAAGGAGTTGGCATTCATTCTTCCCTGGCTTATTGACAGGGAAGTCAGTAGCTGAGCTGATAATAGCAGTCCCACTCTTGACAGTTTTCAGGCATTTAGATAAAAATCCTGATTGTAAACAGGATTACAGTGGAAATCACCATGAGAGGATTAAATATGGGATCCCCCACAGTGCAGCCTGCCTTTGTGAGTTACAGGTGAACTATTTGTGTGAAGTCTTCTGTTTGCTTTGTACTTTAAAGATACTTGAACCAAACTTGCATCTTTGGAACAGATTTGATACTGCTCTGACCTCGTGATCTCTTCAGTTCTTACACAGTAAAATTTGTCCCAAATAGATGAATTTGTCCCAAACAGGAAGGAAAAAGTAATAAGTAAAATATGTTTCCTAAGGAAAACTTCTACTTTCATGGAATGATCCTAAGAGAAGATAACAAAGCAGGAGTAGAAACTAAAGTTTGGCTGAGTGTGAATATTCCTTGGGTTTCTGTATTGCTTTGGAAAACAGGGAAGGGATGGGGATGCAATGGCTGGGAACTGCCTGAGGGCAGCCCTGGAATCTGTGCAGCTGCCTGTTGAGTCAGCATCACTAAAGCACTGGGGTAAAATGTCATGGGTTTGGGTGCAAAAATAACCTGGCTAATTTGTGCTGCTCTCTTTTCATCTTTTGTGCTCCATAACACACCCTCCAGCTAATCAAGGGGGCACAGCTTAAGTCTCTGTATTAAGAACTCTTAAGATGTGAGAAGGCTAATCCACTGACCAGAAAAGATTCAGGATTCCTGGGTGCTTTCCTCAGCTCTGCCACTGACTCACTCATCTTGAGTGTTTTTTTTTTATCATGTCCGTTTTTCTTTCTTCCCCTATAAAATGGAAGGAATGATCCCACCTCAAAGCATTACTAAGTCTTAAAAATTCAGAACCACCTTGAAGATTTTCAAAGCCAACTTGAAGATCGGGGGGGGGGGCAAATTCCCGTTTAATTTAAGGAGAAAAAGAGTGTCCAAATATTTAAGCAGTTTTGATAAGTCTGGTCGTAACACCCGGGAGTGTTTTGATATTTCATTTGAGAAATGTGAAATGGTCTCCAGGAAGTGTTAACCCAAGTGAGTGAGTGGTGTGTTCCTAACGTGTCCCTGCTCTGCTGCAGCGCCCTCGATGCCGGAGTACGACACGGACTCGCCCCTGAACGAGACCGACACCACCATCACCGTGATGCTGAAGCCTGCTCAGTCCCGGGGAGCACCTGTCAGGTGGGTGTTTTGTCTTCTCTCTTCACAGCTCCCCCCCCATCTCCTTCCTCCCCAGGCTTCCCTCACGCCTCTCTCGTTCTCCTCTGATAATGGAGCTGCTGAAAGCCAGCGCTGACTAAAAGGCCAAGTCGGCTGTTGATTCTGCCTTTCACAGTCTCCTTTTATAAACGCCTCAGCCTCCTTGCCTCCTGCTGTTAACCTCCAGGAAGGAGTGCTGCTGGCACTGTGCAGGGTTATTACCCTCTCAGCAGCACTTCAGATGCCTCTTCAGGGCTGGAGCACAGCAGGACGTGGGGCTGGGTACTGAGTGGTGCCGTGGGAAGGTGGAGGAGGCTCCAGGTCTTCATCCTGCCCTCTCTTCCATGGTGAACAAGGCCTGCCTGGAAGTACTGTAGGAATGCCTGAACTGTCTTCAATGCTTGCAGATGCATTTGTGCAGTTTCTGGGTCTGACCTCACTTCTCACACACATAATCCAGCTGGTGCTGCTGGGCTGGTGGTACAGTGAAGGAATGAATCTGGTGCAGAGAAGAGGAGTTCTGATTTAGTGAGGCTTTGCTAGTGTAGGCAAGCAGGTCCTGCTGACAGAGCAGGGGATTTACAGAATTACACAACCACAGAATCATTTAAGTTGAAAAAGCTTTCACCAATCACCACTTTGTAAACTAGACCAGAGCAGTGAGTGCCACATCCAGTCGTTCCTTGGACACCTTCAGGGGTGGGGACTGCACAGCCTCCCTGGGCAGCCTGTTCCAGTGCTTGACAACCCTTTCCATGAAGAAATTCTTCCTGATATCCAACTTGAGCCTCCCCTGGTGCAGCTTGAGACCATTTCCTCTTGTCTATCCCTGTGTCCTGGGAGCAGAGCATGACCACCATCTGGCTCCCCTCTCCTGTCAGGGAGTTGCAGAGAGCGAGAAAGTCCCCCCTGAGCCTCCTTTTCTCCAGGCTGAGCCCCCCCAGCTCCCTCAGCAGCTTCCAGTGCTCCAACCCCTTCCCCAGCTCCATTCCCTTCTCTGGACTCTCTCTAGCCCCTCAATGTCTTTCTCACAGTGAGGGGCCCAGAACTGGACACAGCACTCAAGGTGCAGCCTCACCAGTGCCCAGTACAGGGGTGCAGTCACTTCCCTGGTCATCTGGGGACAGGGAGCTGCCCAGGAACCTGTGGAATAGAAAAAACATTTCTGGCTGGCTCTGAGCTGGGCCCTGCTCTTAGTGATGAGATGCTGGACTGGGACACTCCACTGCAGGTCACTCCCTGACTGTGGAACATGGCTTAGAGGTCTGTACTTCGTCGCTCTCTTCCATCGGGGTGGATTTGTACATGGAGAAAGGCACCAGCACAGATGAGCAAAGTTCCCTTGTGAGCTGGCACTGCTTTATCTGTCACTGGCAGAAGTGCCAGTTGGCCATTCATCCTTCCCCTCATCCTGCCACTCCTCCTGCCAGGCTCCTCAGCTGAGAGCAGCAACTGGAATCACTTAGAAAAGCAGTGGGTCCTGCTTTGCAGTGGTATCCAGCAGGTATCCATTACCTCCCTGGGGGATCTTCAGGCTTTTACCTCCAGTTTTCACAAGAGACCTTGGAAGCTTTTTCCATGCCTGGTATTTTAAAAAACCTTTAGTTCCTTCTTTCCAAGTGACCTGGGCTTCTGTGCCTCACTGACAGGTTCTTAGTGCTTTTGAAGGATGTATTCAGGAGCAGATTGCTCAGAGGTAAACTGCTGGATTTAATGAAATATCCTACATGGCTTGGTGGTCCAGCCTGTGTCACAGCTTTCCCCCAGATTGCATTGACAGGCTCAGGAAAAAAGTCTGCTCTTTAAGACTTGCACCATCCATTCTCTAGCTTTTCTGAGTAATGTATTTCAAAGTTTCCCTTTCAATCTCTGCTACTCCATATGAGCAAATTTAGGAGCCTATTTTCTGAGTCCTTTAGGGATGTTTTTCTGCTGGAAAAGAGCAGTAAAATCACACAGCTCTGTTTTGTTTTATTTCTTTATATGGGGGAACATTCCTGTATCTCGTTTTACCACCTGCTGTCTTAACAGTGTTGCTATTTTGTCTTTTTATTGAAAAGTCTTGTGATTTTTCTCAAAGTCGATTTACTGCAGTTTAACTGCATTCAGTGAATAATGCCTTTGCATCTGTATATAAAATTGCAAATGCATCTGTATATAAAATTGGTAGAGATTTTTTATAAATTTTCACTCAGGTTTCTTTAATTGCATCGTAGCCCATTATACACATGTTTGCAGAGAGGGCAATATTTACATGCCACATCTAAGTGATAAAATTATTTCCTATTATGAGTCCATTTTATTGACTTACAGATGTGTGAATGGAAACCAGGACAGGCAGGGGGAGTAAAGGGGAGGGGGAATTTTAGCTTTTTATTAAATATGACAGCCTGAGAATGCTGGAATACCTTCCTCTGTGTAACCATCCAGACTGTTCCTAGTCTGGCCTTGACAAATCCAGTTATTCCAACCTTTATTTTCCCAACCTGTTCCCTTTTCTTCCAGTCTGTTCTGCACACTCCCATTTGTGAGATTCTCTCAAAATACCTGTGCAGAAGCAGGTAACATTCCCTCAGAGTAAGGAATGTCAACAGCACCCAGCACATTGCAGGAATAACACATGAATAACATATTGTGAACTGCTTGGGACACTCTTAATTACACAAGAGTGAGGTGGTGGTTTATTCTCTTCAATGTTTTTAATTGTATTCAAGCTGAGCTCAAATACATCTTCTTTGTTTTTGTCTGCCCAATTGTTCTGCCTTTTGGTTGTACATGGTTTATTTCTCTTTCACAAGTGTGGTATTTTCCAGTCATGTCTATTAAATGTGATTAAAAAAAATGTGCTTTAAAAGTCTGCCACAAACTTAAGTGGCTTAGAGCCCCTCAAGGATGTGATGCCATCCTGTGCTCAGGTACTGAAGGCATTAAGACAAGCAGAGATTTAGGGCAATGTCTGAGCAATCTCTGTTGTGGGCTGGTGAGTTGGAGTGATGTAGGGGTGTGACTCTAAGGTAGTATCCATCCATAAAAGATAGTTAAGTAACTTTTTCTTGAGTTATTTCCTTCTGCTGTAGCACAGAGATGGAGCATGGTCTGCAAGAACGTTTTTAGAGTAATACTGTAGGATATTTAAAATGAGATTCGTTGGATTTTGAAAAAATTCGTTTGAAAAAATTCATTATATTCATTTGAAAAGCAGGCACACCAACTCCAAAGTCACTTTGAGCATTAGAATGTTCCCCAGTGCTCGTGATAAATAATTTAAATGTGGTTGTTTATAAAAGTAACGACCGTGAACTCGGCATTGTTAATGATCTGTGGGTAACAGTGAAGACACTTTCATATGAACTAATAGCATTAATATAAACTTAGATATTCTTTGATCTATTTTGTCCTATAGTCAGAAGAGAGGTGAAGCCTCAGCAAGCAGAAATGTTCTCCCTTGTGGCACAGGCATTGCATTGGTGCCTTTACTTTTCGTGGTATAACCCACAGAGCTTGACTCCCCATTGCCCTTTAAAAATAACTTTTAGGTGTTCTTAGATCAGTCTAAACCCCGTGAATGGTGCTGTGATTGATATGCTGAGGGCTGACATTCATCTATAATGCATTCACAAGAGCAAGGAAGAATGCAAGTGTTCTCAGTCTTTACTCCTCAGCTCTTTCCTGAAAATCTCCAATGTGATTTTGAGGATATTTCTGCCTTTGAATGTGTTATTGTCGGGAGGGCTGAGTCAGTCCTGCATAGATCATTCACATATGACATCTTTAGACCTCTGTTTGAGGCTTTATATCCCACTCACTGCTTGGAAATACCACTGTGAGGGGGTTTATCCACACTACTTGTCCACTGGGCTGGTTTTTGGGTGTTGGATATTTGAAAGTCCATCTGGTTTATTAATACACCGTTGCTTCTATCAGTCTACCTCTACTGCTATTATGGAGAAAATCAAATTTCCAGAGCAGGTATTAGTTTAGAGGATTTCAGAGTTGGCATAAATGCTGCCCACAGGTGGGATTGCCGTGCCCATACCCTGCTCTGAGTGTTTGTAGGACACTGTAGGAGGATGTTAGAGAACAGCCTGCAGTTATGTTTGGGGGGGTTTCAGACAGCAGAGAACTTTTCTGTTGGAAGAAGATGGATTTAATCTCCTCATCTTCCTGCAGTTCTCAGAGATGTGTCAGTAAACAATCTGTGGTGTTCTTTTGTGTGCTGCCAGCACCCAGGTACAGGACAGTCTTTAGGCACCTGATCCCTGCACTGTGTAATATAATTGGAATTATACTGCAGTATAATTGTATATTATATACACTATATATATATATTATATACAGTATAATTATAAAACAGTATAATTGGAACAATCTTGTTTGACCTTTGATCTTGCCTTTTTGCAGATATATTTTTTTGGGGTGGGGTAGAATATATATATTTGATATTTATATGTATATATATATATATATATATATATATTTGCAGTGTAAGTATCATGTGTAAGTGATCCTGGAGAAATATATTCAGGTAGGATCATTTATTGTGAATGCATGCAATGGTCAGATACTTGCAATCATTTTTGTGAGGAAGGATGGCTTATTTTATTAATGTACATCTGAAAGGAATGAAGTAAATCCAAATAAGAGAATGGAGATTGAAGATTTAAAATATATTTAGAAGTACTGGGCGAAGGTCAAATGAATATTTTCATATCAACACTCAGCCAGGAGGAGAAATTAATTTATATGGACTGAGCCTCATGTACTCTTAAGTATCAACATCTGAGTCTTGGTCTTTTAAGCATGAAATAAAGGTAATTTTTGGTGTCCATGATGTTGAACATACCAAGAGAAAACATCTGTAGTGTTATTTAACAGAACACATAAGAACAATGTTTTTTCTGGTTTTATGCCCAAGCTGTTCTCCCAGGAAACAATCTTGTAGGATGTGTTCGTACCTAAGTATCCCTGCAGTCAGTAACAAA